TTAATCAATATAGCGATGAACAAACAAGTATTTCGACTTTTAAAATACTGCTCAGCAGTAAAAGCTTTGTTAATAGCATGTTTTATAGTGGTATTTGGGATAAAATATCACTAGTGGTATTTATCCCAAATACCACTACAAAACATGCGATTATTTGTTTAAAATGGTTGAAAAAAATTGTGCAATTTGAAATACCACTATTAAGGATAAATACCACTCCTCTAAGCCAATCAAAGCTAATCAAATTGCACAATTTTATTCAACCACATTATAAACGCATTATAAAGAAGCATCCTTAATTACAAAAGAGATCCTTAATTCTGACCGTAGTTAAGTAAAGATGCTCTGAAGGCCGAGCTTTGTACAGTTTATAACAGTAAAAAAGGGGCAGAACCATCGCTCCTACATCTAGGGATACCTTTGTGCAGGTCAAAATCCCGGCGGAGGGGGGAGGGGAGGTTAAAATACGCACCTTCGTGTTGTTACTCAGGTATTCCTCTTTCAAAGGTATTTCTGGGGGCAAAACCTGCATGGAGAAAGATATATGTGAATAAAATCTTAAAGAATAAGACATACTCCTTCTAATGTTGCATTCTATGCATGCGTGAAGGTAATTTATAGTAACATTTGAAACAGTTTCAACTTCTTCAGTATAAATGGTAAATGTGAAAAATAAAGAAACGTTTAATTTAACATTGTTTTATTTCAAAATGGAGCCACAGGAAGATAAAACCCTCGATTTTCAACAGGAACCAATTATTCTCATGGTTCAACAGCGCTGTAATGGTCCTTCACGCAGCATTGGTCTGCATTCTGTGTGTTTACATGACAGTAAATAGCTTTGTTACTGCTATTATTGCATCAAGTAAATCGTTAATATTATTGTCTTTTAATACACAATACATTATTTTGATGAAGCTACCTTAAAGTTTCCGAAAAGCCTATAAAAGAGTAAAGTTACAGCATCGGAACTCGACTAAAATATAATAGTACTTTTGAGGCTTTGTTTCACAGGTAAATATTATCAAGTCGTTGTTTGATCGATGTYTGTCTGATAATGTACACTCTTTTATCTTCGTTTACATTTTTGCAACATTTAAAGGGTCAAAAGTACCACCGGTTAGGTTGTAAAAACATGCAGCAGTGTTTTCAAAACACCACTTGCGCTTTGCAGTCCTTTGTGTCGATGATGGATGCAAAATATTGWGGCATTAGCATAAGGCTTTCTTTAAATATTGGTCTTAGTATTAAATCAAGGACGCCACACAAACTTTACTCATGACTCAAACTGTACTTTACTTCTAAACAATGGTTTGAGAATGTCCATAGATTCACACCCAATAAACACATCTAATAAGTTAAGAAGTCAGATACTATTAGCTATGTGAATAAAGCTTTTAGTCTTTAGGCGTTTATTAGAAGTTTTACACTTACTTGGAATAAATACTCTTTAGTATCTTTAGGATTTACCATGATATCTATATTCACAAGAGGTGATTCGACGAAGATTTCGCTCAGAAAACGTGCCAGTTCGTCAGCCCAATGCCACGAGCCACTCCAACCTGAATCTAGGACAGGCCATTTTCCCAGACGGCGAAGAAACTGTTGGAAATCTTGCAAAGAATGCTGTTCAATGGCGTTCTCATTCATGCATGAGAAATAATAGTTTTTTACCTTGAACAACGGGCTATTGGTGGGGTATTGACCRAGGTCTTCAATCAGAAAACGGAGTTTTTTGTAGTTCTTGTTGGAGAGCTCAAACATGCTTCCATATTCGTTTTCTCCTTGTGCAATGGGATTATTCTTCACCCATCCATCACAYGAATACTTCATGAACTGTTCGCAAGGGTCGGCACTTTTGTTCATGTCTTGAATAAGTATAGATGCAACCTTAAGGCACTGAGAGGTATAACAAACATTTTCCGGCGATTTTTCAATTGCTTCTTTGGATTTTTCCCCGGATTTTAKCACAAGAGCGATTCCAAGGCATATGCAGGTAATTCCTAAGATAACTATAGCTCCAACAAGAAWCCATTMGATTAGTTTTCTGTTTRTGCCAAATGAAATCTTCTTTGCCTTCGCTGCGACAACACTGTCACTGCTGTACGTCATGRRACCATTTTCCATGACGTCTTGGGTTAGTTCTGTAAAGTTGCYAGATCCTGTGGATGACATTTTGGATTGCATTTCGAGCAATAAAAACCCAAGAAGGAATTGATACTGTGCTACACTACTTAAGGCAGCCTTGAGCTCATTGATGAAATGGTAATGTTATATGACAATTTGATTGTCCAGTTTTTTCACCAAAGTCACAATCAACCAACTYTCTGAAATGAAAATTTCCGCATCTTCTGGGACACAACTGTATCTTGCCAGAGTGCTTGGCTCGATTACAATCTCAATCAGTCGGAACTTTGTAATCAAAACAAAAACAGAATTACGCAATGGCTTAAGGGTAATCCTTTATGAAATTACTTGAAGATGACACACAATTAAACGACAATCGAAAGTTTCATCTGATATGACAATTAAAAGTACAGGAGCACCTTGAATGTCGCTCATAGGGATTGGATCAATATTACAAATTACGCCCACGGGCTTAGATTCAAATTAGCAAAGAATTTAATAACATCAGTCACTTTTGATATAGTCGAAGTATGCGCAAATGTAACGAAGAGGCTATTGCGACTTTTACAGATTAGGAAAGGTAAACTAAAAAACCAGTTTTGCTAAAAATTCATTACTTAATCAATAACTTGTGAATATTCGCTTTTATAAAAGTGACAAGGGGTTTCGTTTGGTGTATTTTTAATTATTTGGTATTGTTTTCGAACAAAAACACTTTTAAAAACGCGTTATGTTCGTTTAGATTTATACTTCTGACATCTTTTCATAGTTTCCAAAGAGCTTGAAGAATATCAAAAGTTGTAAATGGCTTAGAAGCGGATAAACCAGTTAAGAACCGCATAAAAAGACACAATTTAACAAGTCAGACAGAACGTATGACTGAGCACTGTGAATAACAACTTGTAACAACCCATCAATCTAAATTTTGAGGTTGAATTGAATTTGGTTTCGACAAAAGGCCCTGAAATCATTTGTCGAAAGAACGATTAATGGACAATTCTCAATCGGCACCGAAAAACAAMAAAAAAAGACACACGAGAGAGAGTTTCCAATTATAATTCCATATAATAATTCCGCGC